CAGTAAAACACTCATGTGGATAAGAAAATATTTATATCTTTTCAGAAACCATTCTTTTGAGCTGCCTTTAAAAAAGGAAGGATGAACACCGAGAGGAAAAAAAACCAAAAATCCCACAAGATCAAACAGAATCACTTTAAAATGCTTCAGGCCAAAACAAGGCTTTTATTTTCTGACTGGCTAATTCAAGGTGACTCCTGGGGCCTTGAACATCTTAAAACATTGCTGTGATTGTCATTTCTTTTGGACAAGGGTATTTTGTGACCGTTTTGTGGGACTCACAGAGCCAATTTCTGTCGTGGGTGGTGTGTTGCAATTCATCCCCTTCTCATTCAGCCCAGTGCATCTCTTTCCCATCCTGTGAGACGAGATCAGACTCTTGCTCAGGGGTTTGGATGTTCACTGGGTGCTGTGGCATCTCCCCCCTCTCTTCTGATCCAAAGTTCTGGAGGAAAGAGCTGTTCCACAGTCCCCACGTGCCCCCGTGGGTGCAGGGGGGGTCCCTGGGTGGTGATGCCCAGGCTGGCTGGGACACCACCCACGGCAGGTTCGACCTCACTGAGACTCTCCTCTGCCTCTATAAATTTCAGTTAGAGGTTTTCAGCTTCCCAGCATATTCTAAGGAATTGGATAAATTAGAAGAACTACTGAAGCAAGATGGGTGCCTGCTTGCTGGCAGGCAAGAGCTTCCCTTGCCCTCCGCCAGGTAATGCCACACTCCACCCTTATCTGAGCAACGAAGGACTTTCACAACCCAGTGATTCCACATTTTATTCTTTTTACACTGTGAAGTATCATAATATTCTTTAATAGTGTCATACTTGTATTTCACGGTCTAATCCACTTTTCCATTCCCATTGTATTTTATACAGCTTGAAGTCTCTGAGTGCAGAGGCCGTGCTCCTGGGGCCGTGGGGATGAGGCAGCTCTCAGACATTCACCAGGAATTGTCCTTTTTTGTACTGAAACAGTGCAGATTTTGTGCTGTAAAGTATTGTCCTGTGCATAACATACACTTTCTTTACCTTTTCCATTATCTACTTCACAGCAGAGCACATTTGTCGCTGGTTTTCTTTCCTTGTGGCTTAATGAGAATCTTGGGTTTTGGAATGTGCTGTTTCTGTCCTTTGTGTCTAATCTGTGCCCTCTATTTCTCTCCCCCTCTTGGAGATAAAACTGCATTTTGCTGTTGTTGCAGTTCCAGATGAATTTGATCAAGATACAGGAACTGACTCATCACCTTTTCTTGAATCTTTAGGAACTGCACTGGCACACGTGTCCTGGAGGAGACGGATCCACACCGGGCACCGTCTGCTTGGGTTGCTAAGAGAGAACAAGGGCTTTATTGTTGTTTTCACCCACGTTGAGCTTTTTTGAATCTTGATTCTGTTGATTTTATCTTTTATAACTGGAGAAGGAGGGGGAAAAGCCAAGCTGATGATTGGGAAATTTTAGGAGAAGGCGAATGACAAAGTGCAATTCTTCCTCCAGTGTTTACAACGCCCAGTATAATGGTACAGTAGTTGCTCTCTCAGGGGAATTGTGTTGGGGTCTGTGTTTACTTTTCTGTCCCTGGCAGTGCTGGATCCCTTCACATGAGTTGCTGCAGGCACCACTTTTCTTCCAGCATAATAACAGGGCTCATAACTCTGGCTTAATAATTTGCCTCGTAATTCAACTGAGATCTGTGTGAAGTTTCCAAAGGCCAGTCAGTCACACCAGGTAAGGGGGGTTTAAATAGAGGTTTTAACCTGGAGGAAGTGCTGCTCTAACAAGCAGGGCCACTTTAATCCAGATGCCATCACTGTATGCAAGGGGTGGTGGCAAAGGTCAGCGTGGATTGCGAGGGAATTGGAGCTGAATTTCTGCAGTGACTGTTTTTGCAACAAGCCTTGGCAAAGAGGCTCCTTTTCATGTGCTTGTAAACAACACGTTCTCCTCTTATTTTCAGCATCAGCTCCTGGCTGTTATTTCCTTGGGGTGTCATTGGCCCTTTTCCTGGTGGTCATTACAGAGGGTTGGGAAGGGAAGAGCACAGACTGTGCTGCTCGGTCCAGCAGCTCCAGGAATAGGGACAGTTGAGTTTTCTCTGGGGTCTGCAGTGGTGGTTCACTGCAGAGCAGAGGAGTGTGTGCTCTGGGGCAGGGTCAGATGTCCCGTGTGCTGCAGTGCCAGGGCTTTGGAGCCCTTTGTTCAGTGTTTCCTGGCACAGCACTGCCCAGCCCTTCACTTCCTCTGTGCTCCCTGCCTGCCCCAGCCCGAGCAACGATCCAGGAGAATGTCATGGCATGACCTACCCTGGATATCACAGAACTACAGAATGGGTTGGGAGGGACCTTAAAGACTATTTTGTTCCAATCCTCTTCCACTAGTCCAGGTTGCTCCAAGCCCTGTCCAACCTGGCCTTGGACACTTCCAGGGATCCAGGGGCAGCCACAGCTTCTCTGGGCACCCTGTGCCAGGGCCTCACCACCCTCCCAGGGAGGGATTTCTTCTCCATACCCCATCTATCCCTGCCCTCTGGCAGTGGGAAGCCATTCCCCTTGTCCTGTCCCTCCATCTCTTGTCCCAAATCCCTCTCCATCCCTCCTGGAGCCCCTTTAGGTCCTGGAAGGGGCTCTCAGGTCTCCCTGGAGCCTTTTCTTCTCCAGGCTGAACAACTTTGCAACTGCACAGAAATAAGGTGAAGTCTTTTGCAGTTGTATCCAGAATTGCACTCCAGGTTCAGAACTGAGGATTCAATTTTAATTTTTGCCCTTGTACCAGAGAGCACCAGAAAAAATTTAACTTGTTTGGAGTCTGACCTTCCCAGGCTACTAACTGGTGTGTTTAAACCCATAGAACCAGGAAACTGTCTCTAATTGCTTGTCCATAATTTGTTTTTTGTCCCATGTACCATTTGCTTTCGTGCTCCTCACAGCTCTCTTGGCTGTACTGTCATGACACTTGGTTTGTCTTTTTAACTTTACTCCCTTAAGCCTCATTTCTGCTCTTCTATTTTTATAAATTACTGAAATGATAATTTTATATCCAGTGCTGGAGCTGGAGGGGTTTTTGAGCATGATGATACTTTTCTGTGGAGATTCAGATCCCATATTTTAATTCCTGCTCAGGCCAGGGGAAGTTGATTTTTGGGTTTTCCCTGGAAAGTAGCCTTAGCTCTGGCAGTGCTGCTCCACCCCCCACCATTGCCATGCAGCTCCCTCCCCTTCAGAGGTTTCAGGTTTTGTTTTGAGCAAAAATCCAAATATTTTTCTTCAGTTTGTTTCGCTTTGCTGGGTCAAGGTTGCAGCTCCAACCTCTGCTATTGCAGGAAAATTTAAAGTGGGATCTTTCCCTCCCACTGCAAAGGATCCAGTAAAATAAAGGGGCTGTGGAGGGGAACTTGGAAAGGGAAAGGAAAAGCTGTTGTGTTATGCAAAAGAATTTCCTTGTTTCTTCTAACTATGTCTCTTGAGATTATAATTCTCTGACTTTATTTTTAACATTCAAGTTACTGGAAGAAACAATTCCTTCCCTCTGCTTTGTCAACAAGTAAATCCCATTTCTATTTTTTTTTAAAGGAGGATCTGGATGCATAGTAAATGTAGGAGTCCTCTGAGAGAAACAGGGAGAACTGCAAATGCAGGCACAGCTTTCTTGCATTCATAATATTGCTACTAACACTGAATTTCTGAATGCTGGTTTTTTATTTAATGGTAATTTTTGTTAGAACAGATGGGCTTGTATAATGTAAAGACAATCAATTCTCATACAAAAAAGATGATAAATGAAGAACAGAAAAGTGTTTCATATCTAGAAGAAATGTTAACATATTTATGTTACAATGAAGTTTCTTCTAATGAATAATTGCTGACTTACAGCAGGTTTTGTCACACTGAACTGTTTTCCTTCCTTTCTTCTCTCACAGGTAGAGAAATATTGCCTTTGAGTTTTGAGCTGTCCTTTCAGAACCCAGCAAACCTCACTCCTGACTTGTGCTTTTACTGAAATAGGAGAGGATTAAGTGGCATGGTGGAGCTGTAGATGTTGTGCAGCAAATGCACTGTCCCATATTGGTATAAAAATTCCTAGGACTGTGAATTTACACGTAGTTGGAGGGAGATCTTTTGGGTTACAGGGTTTAAACATGATTTATGAAAGGGGATGGAAAGAGGTATAAGGAAAAAAGAGAATCAGAGGAGTGCGGGGTTAAATTGTAGTTATTTCCTATTTAAATATTCAGCCACATTCTCCTGAAGGATGAAGAGCCCACATGGAAACCCTCCTTTTCCCTCCTTGTGGGAACACCTTCTCCAGCAATTGCACCAGACTTGTGGCCAGTATTGAGGGAATTGTTCCAGGTCAGACTGGGACAGGGTTTCTAAGGCAGCTCCTGGAAGGAGGAGGTCCCTGGTGTGGGTTCAGTCTCAGGGTGGTCACACGGGAGGGGACAGTGGAGGGAGCAGTGACAGGATCAGGAGCCACCACAGGAGCAGCTTGGGCTGGGCCAGTCTGTCCTTCAGAAACGGGCAAGCAAAACCTTTGCTTTGCTCCAGCACTCAGGAGGGCAAACAGCATTAACTTCACCTGAATATCAATGCCAGTGAGCCTTTATCCAACCTGGAGGAGGGAAGAGGAGCTCAGGACAAGTGTGAGCTCTGAGTGTGATGTCCCAGCACCTCCAGCACGAGGAACACCCAGTGCCCAGCCTGGGGACTCTGTTCCCAATGCCGTTTGTGCCAGGAGTGTCCCCTGGAGCTGGTACAGACACTCACACTGAAGGTCTGCACCTGGGGAGCCCCAGCTGATGGGAAGTTTTCCTGCTAACTTTTGGCTCACCTTTGCAAAAATATTTATTACCTGAGTTCCCTTGTTTTGCACCTGATATCTGAGATTTCAAGTTCTCTCCAGCACAGGATGCTGTGGAAAAGGGAGGAGGATTTCAGTGGTGTTACACAACCTTCCTTCCTCAAAACATGTGGAGCCTACAGCTTCTGGGAAGATCAATCAAAAGCCACGTCCCAGCGGCTTTGTTAATCAAACAATTTCAGCTCCCAAGTATTTCCCTTGGGTTTGTTTTGCTGAGGCCGAGAAGCCAGAAGCGGAAATTACGCCTCATTTTCCCCATTTTGTTAAATAACCAAGAAAATCTTTGAGATATGATGCTTAGTGTCACTTTTTTGGTCTCAGCTCGACCTCCTCGGGGTTCAGAGCCTTTGATGTCGTTCCATATTGTGCATCTCACAGAGCCTTTGTCTTGGAGGAGAATTTCTGCCTGACAGCCACTCACACTCACACACACCCGCTGTCAAGATATTGCGTGCCGTCCTAAATTATTTGGTAGCGATGGGAGAAACACCTGCTTCCTGAGAACATCTCTTCCTTTTAATCATCCTCAAGAATTTTTTTGGGAGATGCATTATTTAAAATGGTAACGACAACCTGATGCAGAAACAGGTAATTTTGGATTCTTCTTGTTCCAGCAGTTGACATTCAGGTGCCTTGTTCTGGTTCCCTTTTCATGGGGTGCAAATGGTTTTCACAAGGTGAAGGAAAAAGTTCCTATGATTTATCCATTACATCTGTGTAGGACATGATATACAAAACCTTTTAGGGCTTCCTGTGCAGCAAGGGCTGCTTTTTAATTATAAATACATATAAAATATGCAAAAAGGTAAAATCGGCAGGAAGAAAAAAGAGAGCAGGAACAGGAGGGATGTGCCCTGGAACCCCTGTGCTGTGGTAATTTTGGAGAATTAATGAGTGTGGTAGTATTCAGAGGTGTGTTTTAACTTGATTGAAAAGTTTGGCACTTTAGATTGACGGCCAACACTATTCAGAAAGGGAATTTTTCTGTGTGACTGTCCAAATAGTTGCTATGTAATATTTATGTTTGTCATGTGTATTTCTAGATAGACAAGTTCTTTAGATGCATAAATTTATCATATGAAAAGCATTTTAAAATTCTTATATGTAGGTTTTAATATTATTTCTTGATTTATAGGGTTGGTTGGGTTTTTTTAGGTGATTTTTTTTACAATTTTATGGTCTCTGTAAACTGAAATACAAACATAGTTGCACTCCATTGTTTTTCTTGCCCAAATCTAATCTGAGGGGAGGAGGGGGAATTGGTCATGAGGCTTTTTGCTGTGTTGGGGGATGTCAGAGTGTTTCTGCCCAAATAATCCCCAGTGGTGGGTGGGATGAGGGTGGGAGTGCTCGGGATGCAGCTCGGAGGTGTCGGAGCGGGGAGGATCCAGGCTGAGAGGGGGTCAGGGAGGGCCTGTGGAGCTGCCCAGGGTGGTTTGGTGGGATCACACTGACACAGGGTCTGATCTCCAGGGCCATCATCCACTGGAGGAGAACTGGCCCAGAGCTCTGCCAGGAAAAATGCCATCAGAGTGGGACCAGGCTCCTGCTCCCGCTGTCACCCCCAGCTCAGCCAGGCTTTCTGGGGACAGCTGACTGGGGGAAAACTTCAGAGGTTTGAAGACATTTCCATCTACTTGTTTCTTTCCCAGACACTTCACCAGCTTGAATGACATTCCATTAACTCCAGAGTTTTCCTTGTCCACAAAGAAAGCAGCTGAGAAGCAGAGCCTGTGTGAAGGGAGGGATGGGAGCAGCTCCTGAACTGATGCAGCTCCTGCTCGTGGGAATGGAGATGTTTTTATGACATCTGGTGGCCATAAAATCTCAACTCCTGTAAGTGAAAATGGCAGTTCAAAGCCTTGTGGAGAAAATAATCCCTTGTAAGACATACCTGAATATATATATGTGTATATGCAGCTTATATGTACACACACATATATATTTATTGTCCTGGACTTTAATGTTCCCCATCATCTGTTGCTTTGAGTCTTTTGCATATCTATTATATGGAGGTAAAGATGATCATATTATTAAAAAAATACCTATAAAATATATAAGATGAGGGAAAAGGAATATTTATTTATCCAGGAAATTGAATCAATTTTAGTGTAAAATGTTAGCACACAGATGACGTTTCTTGGCCCACGTTCAACAACCCTTGAGGTTACACCACTAATCTGCACTCCCAGCACTGGCTGCATTCAGCCCAAAAGCACAAACCATGTTGCTCCTGTTCATTTGGATTCATTATTTTTGGTTTTAAACCAAAAGGGCATTTCTGTGACTGCTGCAGGCCCTGGGAGGGGCTATGGCAGCACTGATTTGATTTATCCCTGGCCCCAGGAAATGCATATTTGCTGCTGCATGATCTGATGTCATGTAACAGTGGCACTGGGTATGGGATGAATTAGCTGCTGTGATTAAAAAGGGACCTTTTAGGGCTCCATCCAGGCTAAAATAAAGGGCAATACTTGGCTAAAAATTGGCTTTAGTGGCTTGGATTGGGCCCCTTGTTCACTGTGCTTTTTACAAAATACCTACTACAAATCTAAGGACTTTGTAATACTCATCACAAGGGTTTTTTAGGCAAATGATATTGTTGGTTCTTGCCTGACCTAAATTATTATGATAGCAAGGAATGCAAAAAACCAAGTTAAATTACTCTTTAGCAGAAATTTCAGGGAATGGACACTTTTGCATGAATATTTCATGCAAAGCTATAAATAATTCTGTTGGATTTTGAAGATCAGAAAGTGACTACTTGGATGATGTAGGGCATTTATGTAAGGCTGTGTAAGGCTTTGTGCCTGCTGTAAGAGACACATTCATTCATGGAATTCAAGTCATGTGTGGGTAAATTGGACATTTTTCCTGAAATTTCTTTTCAATTGCTCTTTGTTTCAGTTGTTAAGACTGGAATAGACAAACACAGCACTGTCATTTGCCTCCAAAGTTACCTGAGAGCTGTGCAAGCTGCAATGTTTTCACAAAGCTTTGGCCTTTTAAGGAGGTTTTATTCAATATTCTAATCCTAGTGCTGAATATGTTGTGCTCATGAAGTACACATTTGTTAGATTCCTGAAGTGTAGGTCCCTCTGAACCTTCATTCACATATAAAAATCAACTCCACTTGATGGTATTATGCTCCTTATAAGTTGACTTGGATGTGGTTTTGTTTTTTTTCTGTAAATGGTAGTAATCTCTTCATATTAACCAGGAGAAAAAAGATAAGAAATAGAATTGTTTTCTCCTTATGTCACAGGATGGATCTTCTGGCAAACAAACAAAGAAATCATGAAATTATCTGAAGAGCTCGTTCCTTGAATCCCCCGGAAAACAACTGCAAGCTGAACATCAAAGAGCACAAACAAAATATTGCCACATTAATGTCTCCTGCACAAAGGGAGCCTTTTGCTGTGTGCAATGTGCTTATCCTGCAAATGCTGAAGCAGCTCCCAGACCAGCAGCAGAATAATTCCTGCCTGTAGCATCCCGAGAGGAGAGCGGAGCATCCTCCGAGGTGCCACCGACGCCCTTGGCTCGGGGGGACTGGTGGCCCCTTCACCACCCCAGGGGGGTCCTACACCAGTGTCCCCACTGCTTTGGGGACATTTGCTTTGGGATCCACGTCCCAGCTCATTTCCAGCGCTGGAGTCCCAGGGATGCTGCCCAGAGTGAGCCTGGGAGCAGGAGCAGCAGAGATTTTCAGGTACCTCATGGTCGTGGTGTCCAAGAGGGAGAACACAAACCCCCCTGGCTGTATTGCAGGAGGGGAGGTGCAGTGTGTCCCACAGCAAGGGCTGGCTCTGGAGGACAGTCCCCACCCTGAGGAGCTTCTGGGGCCTTTGTGAACAGAGCAGGGCCCTCGTGTCCCTCAGCTCAGGGGAGGTGTCACTCAACAGGCTCTGCTTTAACCTTCCTCAGCACTGCACGTTACTGAGGTCATCTCAGTGAAAATACAAAAGAGAATCACAGAGTCACTGGGGTTGGAAAAGCCCTCTGAGACCATCAAGTCCAACCACATCCCCAGCACTGCCCAGGCCACCACTCACCCATGGCCCCAAGTGCCACATCCACAGGGCTTTTAAATCCCCCCAGGGATGGGGACTCCACCCCTGCCCTGGGCAGCCGTGCCAGGGCTGGACAACCTTTTGGGGAAGAAACACAGTTTAATCCTTCTGTTCTTCTCCTGATGTGTATTATGTGTTCCAGTCACATCCTGCTTTTCTCTGCATAACTTTTCAGGAATTGCAATGGTCACTCAGCTCACGTTTTTTTTCCTCCCTCTGTTTAAATTTAAATTTTTGCCTCTATTTTCCCCTGGTAAAACAAGGTTACTTTATAAAATTTCCAAGCTGTATTTCATTACCATTTTTCACCATCTATATGATCTCTTTTGTAATGCCAAATGTGCTACTTGTACATGATAAATCTGTGCAGCAGCAAAGAACTTTTCAGTCTCTCATCTGTTTGGAGATGAACTTCGGGTGTGTCAGTGCTTGCATATTGATTTGATATACCACAGAACAAGGACAAAAGGAAAGGAGTTACAAAGCCAAGCAGTCAAAAAGGTAATTTATATGAAACAGAAATTTAAATAGGTGGGAAAGTCACAGGGGTGCACTAAAATCTTCCATGAGGTTTAGATGGCAGATCTTCGTGCCACTGTGACTGAACCACCAGGCTGAAAGGCAGGAATAATGCTGGGACCAAACCACAGTGGACAACATCTCCTGGACCTTACTTAGGGAGATAAGATAAATAAAGGAGAGCTAAAAGGATTTTACCAAATTCATACTACACAAGACTGGCTTTCTGTGTGCACACAAATAACTTGGATTAGCAAGATGTGCCATCGCTTCCACCATAAAAATATCCAGTCTCACATTATTTTAAGAGACTTTCAAAATAGAGTGGAATTAAAATATTTGTTTTAAACTCCCCAGGGAAAAGGTGCTGGGCTTCCTGCACAATCTTTCTTTTTCTTTTTATAGTCCTTCTCCACCCTCAGTCATTCAGCAGTTCCATTTCCCAAAATACCAGTGGTAACTCCTTCTCCAGTCTTTGCCCGTGTGGATGTTTGCTGTGATATCACTTCACTCCTCAGAATGAAGCCCTTCATTTCTGTCTCACTCTTTTGGTACAAATGCAGCCAAAACTGTGTTTTTTAGACAGAATATTAACTGTGCTGGGGAGACAAGGCTGCCCAGAGAAGCTGTGGCTACCCCACCCCTGGGAGTGTCCCAGGCCAGGTTGGAGCACTCTGGAATAGTGGAAGGTGTCCCTGCCCATGGCAGGGGTGGCACTGGATGGCCTTTGAGGTCACAAGCCAAACCATTCCATGATTCCACGATCCCTTGCTGTGAGTTTTGCATCCTGGGAGGTTTTAATTTTCCCAGTTTCTTGTCCCACAGTTTCACTTTGGTCCGTTGACATTTCCCTGTTATTGACCCCCGGCAGCAAAAGGCTTGGAATGGCAGGAGAGACTTAATGAGGCACTTTACATGTCCCTCATGAAAAGTGGCTCAGGTTTGAGTGCTGCTGCTCTGCACCTGGGCTTATTTTCATTCCCATCTCTCATAGCCAAAGGTAACATCTCAATGTGTTCCATTCTTGCTTTTATAAATTGAATAACCAGTTTTTTCTGGCTTCCCCCAGGAACCTCGGAGTGAAATTGTTTTCCTGTCCTGCAAAATACTTCAGAAACTTTCTATTCCTGAATTGAGGTGAATGGTTTTGCTTTCTTATTGTTGCTTTCTCTGACAGCAATATGTTCCATCTGCTGGGCGTTTCGAGGCACTTTGATTTGTATCAAATTTGAAATTTAACTTTTTTCCTTATATTTCCAAATGAAGAGTACTTTTCAGCTTCATTTTCTGCCATTTCAAGATGTTCTTTCACACAAACAACATTAGTTTGGGCATATTTTGTTTTTAAATGAAAATATTTGGTTGAAAGTGTTGCAACCAGTTTTTGTGCTTAACTTTTCCCTGATAGGTGAGTGGATATTTTCCTTTGAATCTCAGAAATATGCTTATTTTCTAACACCCACCCCCCCAAAAAAAAAAAAAAATGTTTTATATTTCCAGGCTGCTGCTTGGACTGTTTTCCATCTCCTTCTAACACACGGAGCTCCATTAAGAGGTTGGTAAACTCTTTGAAGAGCTCAGAGAAATTACCAGTTTTCCCTGCTCTCAATCATCTCTTAATTCTTTTCCTTTTGAAGGGTGTAAAATTTTCTCCTCTCCCTGTCAGGCTCTGTGTAATTAATGCTGTCTCCCTGTTCTCCCAGCTCCCACATCTCTCCCTTCCCTTCTCTCCACGGCACCGTTTCCTTTGCGGGTTTGAAGGGACTGATTATTCTGCTTCTAAAAGGCAAAAAAGTTCAAATTGTTCTTTGTGTGACAGCAGCAACATCAGCTGAGAGTTTGCTTGAAAACTGGTGCATCATTGCCTAAGAATGGACAAACTTTTCCATTCCAGTTCTCTCTGGGAGACACACCTGGGCTAGGGGAAGGTGTCCCTGCCCATGGCAAGGGACATGAGATGGGTTTAAAGTCCCTTCCAACCCAAACCATTCTGGGATTCTAGACCCTGCTCCAGCTCCTTGGGGGTCTGCAAGAAGGAACGTGGCCTAAACCTGGTCCCTGGAGGGACAGTTGCCACCTCCCAGAGGACACAGCTCACATTCCAACATATGTTGTGACTTGGAACAAAACCTGCAGGAGCTGAGCCATGAGAGGTAGTAACAATCCTTCTTTTAAAATATTTATATGAAATGACTGTGGGCCAGGGGGGCAGGAGCTGAAGGCTGGAGCTGGTTTTGGTTCTACGCGGTCGAAAGAGATTTCTCTTGTTTTTTATTTTTAAGAAGTTCAATGAAAAATGAATATTTGTTTTTTATTTTTTAATATGGATGTTAAAGATTTAGAGCAGAGAACCTGTTTCTTTATAAATGCCACAGTAAAGAGCTACTTTGGCACTTGGGCTACACAAACCCCAAAGGTTCCTCATTCATCCACAGCCCCGAGGGCGGGGGGTGTTGCTCTGCAGTGAGATGGAGAAGGAAAATCTGTTGGCAAGAGCAGGCTTTTCCTTATGGCTTCTGGTTTTCCAATATGTTCTCTGAGTACTTCCAAGTAAAACACTTCCTGCCATGTCTGCCAGAGAGCAGCAGAAAGGAAGTGTGGGTTCCACTTTACATGGTGCTCTGAGATCGTGGGGGGGAGACGACAAACCCCAAACCCAAAGTCAGAACTGGCAACTCCAGTAATAAGTTGCCATGGACAGTATAGGAGTGTGGTCATGGCCCCAAGGCTGCCAGAGCTCAAGGAGTGCTTGGAGAACACCCTCAGGGACAGAGTGGGACTGTTGGGGTGCCTCTGCAGGGTCAGGGGTTGGATGATGACCCTTGTGGGTCCTTCCAGCTCAGGACATTCCATGATTTCTACGAAAGGCTGCAGAACTTGCACCTGACTGACTTAGCTGGAGATACCAGTTGTCCTGGTGTCTCCATATTCCTCGTTGTCCTAAATATATTGGGAACACTTGGTTCCTTAATTTGGTCTATTAATAAGCATAATTCTTGCTGATTTGAGCAAAAATAAGTATAAAAGTGAGAGCAAGTGCTGCCTTATTCCTGCTCCATTGGCTGGACTCCACAGTGGATTGGCTGTGAGGGTGCAGCAAAATGCTCTTTTCCATCAGCACTAGGGATATGAGTCCTGTTCTCTGCACATTTACTTGGTGTTGGATGAGATCTGCAGATTGTCACGGTACTCCTGACGCAGTACAGGGACTGTCAGGGCCCGAGGGCACAGCGGGTGCTGCAAATGTCTCCATTCTTGTTATTACTGTTGATGTTATGGTTGTCTCTGTTGTTGGTTTGGGTATTATTATTATCATTATTTACTCAGAGTGTGGTGAGGCCCTGGCACAGGTTGCCCAGAGAAGCTGTGGCTGCCCCATCCCTGGAAGTGTCCAAGGCCAGGTTGGACGGGGCTTGGAGCAACCTGGGCTAGTGGAAGGTGTCCCTGCCCATGGCAGGGGGTGGCACTGGATGGGCTTTGAGGTCCCTTCCAACCCAAACCAGTCTGGGATTCCATTATACAGCCATATTTTGCAAATAAAAGGTTATCGATTCCCTTGCTGGAAAGAAGGGAAGAGGAGAAGAAAGAAGTCTGCCAGATACTTTTTTGTAAATTGTTTTCCATTGGTTCTGCTTTCCTGGAGAGCATTAGGAATAATCCCTTGTCAGGGTGCCAGGGAGCTGCTGCTCTAAATGCAGCATAATGAAGTGGGCAGTATCTGCAGAGGTGCACAGGCATTAAAACTGCTTAAATGAGAGCAAACTACAGAGGGAAATTTTGGAAGGGCACTGGGGAATTTTAATTTCTGCATGGCTGAGAGGACAAAGGCCTTGGACAGTAAATACTGGTGACAAGAGCTGTAGGACAGGATGTGCTGTGCTCCTTGAGTGCTTCTGCTTGAGCAGAATTGGTAACCCATCACCTTAGAGTTGTATCCAGTCCCAGCTTAATGCCAACTAAAAAATAATAAAAGAGGAAACAAACAACTTGGAGCTTAATGAGGAGGAAAAATGTAATTATAAGAACAGCTTTAATTGATAAAGGCAACATCAAGGTAGCAGAAGCTCTGCTTCTCATCAATACAGGGTTTAGTATCATCTATCAGCTACAAATTGATCACTGAGCTGCCTTTGCCAAGGCAGCCCTTTATTTGCTCGTGTTTTGTACTGTTGTGTTTGTGTTTAACATACAAATATAGGTACAGACTACCTGGTTTTTGGTTGGTTTGTTTTTGTTTTTTTTTCAGGGACTGTTCTCCTATTGAAAAGCAATATAGAGCAGAGAGCAATGTAAGCAAAAGGAGTAAGACTTTGATCAGAGTCAAGCTGTTGTGCCCTCAAAAAGCCCAGCAACTCATTAGTATTGATTAGGTCAAGGTGACCTATTCTAACAATACAGTTCTTAGGATCTCAAATTCAAAATAACTGTAGTAAATAAGACTAATAGAACCCATCTGCTGCTCCCCACTAACATTGTGCTATGGTTCATACAACTGGGTTCACACTGGAGAATAAATTACTGACTGGTAAATCAGGGTGGGAGCCCAGGCAGGAATGTCTGGGGCAGTGTGATGCTGTTGGGTCCTTTATTGATGGGGACTGTACAAACTACATTATCAGCTGATCCCAGGCGATGTGGATCTACAACATTTAAAGAGCTGTCACAGGCTTTTTCCTCTAAAAGTTCAATGTGTTCCAAATGCTCTCTTGTTTTCTGCATTTGTCTCTCAGTTGGTCAACTTCTGCCCAGGGGAGCAGGTCACCTAAACATCCTTAAACCCAGCACAGATAAAACTAAGATCTTTCTGTTAATTCTTTGGAGAAAAGGGACAGTTTTGACAGGACAAAATGGGGAATGGCTTCAAAGTGACAGAGGGCAGGGGTAGGTGGGATATTGGGAAGAAATACTTTATAATGAGGGTAGGGAGGCCCTGGCACAGGTTGCCCAGAGAAGCTGTGGCTGCCCCATCCCTGGAAGTGTCCAAGGCCAGATTGGAGCAACCTGGGCTAGTGGAAGGTGTCCCTGCCCATGGCAGGGTGTGGGACTGGATGGGCTTCAAGGTCCTTTCCAACCCAAACCATTCTATGATTCTGTTCTATGATAAGAAGGACAAAATGGGAGGTTAATGGTGTGTTGTGATGTATTTCCAGCATCTGATGGATGAACATAACAGGACAGATTTTTATTCTGGGTAATCTGAATAAAATGCACACCTTATGGTGCTCTCATGCTTTAGTTGTTAATACAACCCCCTTTGGCAAAAAAAGGCACTCTCTGTCTTAGACCCCACCTATTTTTTAATCTCACAAATCTTGCTGTCATTTCCCCTCTGTTTTACACCTGTTTCCTTCCTTCTACCAGATTACAACAGGTTTATGGTCTCTGGAGTGATCTCCAGCTCACCAAGGAACACATTATGTTCTCTAGGAAAAAGAAAAAGAAGCTCCTTATGTCTCATTAACTTGAGCAGATCCTGTTTGACACTGTGGGAAGGAACCTGCTGTGTCCAGAGCAGGCCTTGCCAGGCTGAGCCTCTCCCAAACGGCTGCTATTGATGAGCAAACAAAGGGGGTCGGCCAAGGGGATGGTAAACAGTAAATCTTAGTGCATGCTCTGCTTGGGCAAACAAGGGATTAGCTGCTGAGTGTTCATCCAGCTTAGCTGAGACCATTAAAATTACCCTGGTATTTAAAACTACACATGCTGAGGGAAATGCATATTCATTTTTTTCCCCTGGGAAAGCCAGATCATATTGAATCAATATTTAATTTTAGGGGACAGCCTCCAGACAGTGAGAAATGGTGTGTGAGGCTCTCTCTGTCTCCTGGAGGAAGAAGTCAGGGGGCTGTTTGAGGTGAGCTCAGCCTTGTCAGCTGTGATGCTGTTTGCTCTCAATCATTTCCCACTGGCCTACGTGACTGTGATGGGACTGGAAGCACGGGGGCTGCTCTCCCAGCTCCCTGTTCCTCCACGCTCAGCACAGGGGGTTAACCTGGGCAAGGTAACATCAATAATGCAGAACAGGGAAGTTGCTGTGCCAACTCTTCTGCTCAGTCAAGTGAGACTTTTACGCTCAGTTTTTCAGTTCCTTTCCTGGAGTGGGGAAAGGATCCCCTTGTCATGCAAAGCCTTTCCTGCTGGGATTGCTCTGAGTTCCCTCTGCAGCAGCAGCCCTGCAAACAGGCAGCCAGAGCACAGCCCCAACCCCTGGGCAGGGTTTGTGCTTCACCTCCAAATCTCAACTTTCCTCTTCCTTTTAGGCCTTTGTTCATATCAAACCAGGAGAGATGTGGACTCTGAGGGAGTGATGTCCACACACCTGGCATGGACAGGAGTTACCTTGATGGGTAACCACACATCAGGCATTTCTCTGAGCAGATCCTGCTGTTGGGGCTTTTGTTCCCCAGCACGTTCCTGTTTTATCTGCTCCTTTGGCAGAGGTGCCAGGCAGCACAATGAGACTCCTCAGGAAATGGAGACACAGAAGTTTTAATAAATGCAAGTTATCTAAAAGATATTCTTTTGTATTCACTTCAGCCATGTCAAGATGTTCCAGAGCTGAAAAGAGTAAAAGGAGTGATGTGGATGTCAGAAGCGTTGATAAATTAATTGTACACAGAGCTGAACCAAGTTCTTAAGCAGATTTTATACTGTAATTCATGTTCTACAAGCCCAGGATGAATCATGAGAACTGCTGCTTGAGCCTGAAACAGCAATGGATTCTTCTGTAACAGCAAGCCTGTTAATGCACAGGATATCTGCTCTGCAGAACTCATCTGTTACGTCACATTTTGCCCTGAAGTAGCTGCAGGCAAAGGGTGATGCTGGAATCTCACCCTGCAAAGGTTGCTGAGGACTAAATAACAGCGCTGTGACTCAGGGCCCTGTGCTGGGACTCAGGGCATCCAGAGTACAAAGGAAGTTAAAGTGCTGTGGGCACAGTAATCACATCCTTTGTCTTGGTGTGCAGGTGCTGTGGAGCAGATTTGGTGTTGCTGGAGTTAATAAATCATTCACTGGGGGAACAGCATCGTGGTCCTCACACAACATCATTAACAGGCCAACCTGTGACTGCAGCAGGGAGAGAGTGCTTAATTAAAAGCAGGATGCTTCCAAGGCTCAGAACTGTTCAGGTCACAATTTCAAGCATTTACGTTCTGGAATGTTAATTTGGGCTTTAGGAACTGGAATCCATCGGGGGGATCGTGAAGTCCTGGGGGGGATCGTATCCCTGTATCCCAAGGCAGTAATGAGTCTGGGCTTGGACTTATCCTGAATTCTGTATTTCTGAGCATGATGTTAAATCCAGTTCCAGTCTGTCTGGGGAGAAATGGACCTCTGCAAAAAGTATCAGTGGAACTCCCTGTCGAGGCCTTGATGTCACAGAGTCATGGAATGGTTTGGGTTGGAAGGGACCTTAAAGCTCATCCCATCCCACCCCCTGCCATGGGCAGGGACACCTTCCACCAGCCCAGGTTGCTCCAAGCCCCGTCCAACCTGGCCTTGGACACTTCCAGGGATGGGGAAGCCACAGCTTCTCTGGGCAACCTGTGCCAGGGCCTGCCCACCCTCACGGGGAAGGATTCCTTCCCAATATCCCATCTATCCCTGCCCTCTGGCAGGGGGAAGCCATTAAAGTGATATTGCAGAGTATTGCTCTGTTCTATAGGCAATTTGTGTTTAAATGCTTTTGTTTATTAGAAACAGCAAAAATGAGGTTTATGTGTTAATTTTATCCGGAGTTCTTGCCTATGGATGAGTGAATGTCTTGACAAAAATTGTTCTCTTGAGTTTTCCACCTTCTCCCTCAGTGTCCCTGCTTTCCTCCTGTAATTATTCAGCTTTCTGACTCTGCACATCAGGTGGGGTAACGTGGGGGAGGAGGGAGGATGAACAGTTCAATTAATTAAGCCAAGTTGTAGCAGATCATCATCATTTTTCAAGGTGTCAATTGAGAGATCTCTGGGAAAGATGCAGATGAGCCAGGACCACCTGGGAATTCTGTCTCAGTTTCCATCACAGCATTTCAGAGAGCTTGGAAATACCTGTCAGGGTTTAATGTTAACCCCGTGATACCTGTGAAGAATATTTGCAGGAGTGTCCTAAAAGTGTTGATTTCCACCCCTGGAATACAGAGACAGCCCAGTGACCCTAAGAATTCTTCTGCTGTTGTGCAGAGAGGATTTTTGTTGGGCTTTGCTAAAGTAAGTCTTAAACTAGGAATTTTGACATTAATTAAAACATGGAATGCTACAATTGGAGCAGTAAAGAATGGAAAGCAAAGCTCTCATATGAAGCACAGAAAGATAAATGTGAATTCTGTGTATTTTTTTTGCATGTCCAGGTAAGAAAACTCCTTGAGTTTAGCCCCAGCTTGATTAATATGAAGCTATACAAATTCTAGTTTGCATCTTTGCTTTGTCCTACCTGAAACCAGACAGTCTGGACACAAGTTAATGTACACCCTTGCTTTTCAAAAGCAGTGACACAGCTATTTCAACACCCTGGTTCTGGATTTGGGAAGGTTTTATTTTGTGGCTGAGGACTCACACCTTGGTGTGCACAGAGAGCTGAAGGACACTCCTGTCCTCCTGCCTGTTCCCAGCTCCAGGAGGGGCAACTTCTGAGTTTATGTGTTAGGGACTGGAAATGTCCAGCAGGATTTCATCCCCGAGTCACATCTGAAGGTCTGTACTCTGCAATCTTCCTCATGGCTCCCTTTAGGAAATTATTCTGCACAGATATTTTTGAATATTTTATAAAGAAAATATTCTTGAATAGTTCTTTATATTTTTGAGTGCCAGGAGTCCCTGCAGCCCACCTGAAGTCCCCTATGCCCCTGCTCTGGAAGGCTCTTCAGCTCTGTGACACCAGGTTTATTGGGTTTATTGCTTGATCACTGTTCATTCTGCAGCTGTTTGTTGTTTCAGCCCTATTTATTCTGCAGGTGTTGCTTTGGCAGCAAATCAGGGTGGAGTGGGGCAGCCCAGGGATGTTTGGCTGGAGCTTGGGATTTCTCTGCAGTGAGGAGGATTCTCACCAACACCCTGAAGTCACAAAAAGAGAACTTTTCTGGGACTCTGGAGGCTACTGGAAGGAGTAGGAAATGGGAGTGGAATGAAATTATGGAACAGGTACATTTATTTATATATTTATTTATGCCTTTTTTTTTATCTTTACAGAGTTCTGTTGTTGTGGTTTTCTGTCTTAGTAAAAGAGATGGGAATTTCTTTAGTGTCTTTCCATAAAGTTTTATCTCCCTGCCCTGGCTGACTCAGAGCCTTGTACAGTGACTTTTATTTTAATTAATCCACTGTAGAAAGACTGGGAAGTGCAGGGCTGGCTGTCCAGGGGCTGCTTTAGCAGGAATATATTTTGCTAAATTGCAACCCAGTGGGTACAAGCATTAAGTGCCACCTGGCTGGTGTTTGGGCTCGATGGTCCTTGAGAGCTCCTCCAACCTGAAGGGTTCTGTGGTTCTCAGTGGTTTGCTCAGGCACCAACATCAAACCTTCCTTCATAAAGTGATGGAGCCTCATCCCAGAACTCCTTCAGTTCCCTCCTCCTCTGGAGAGCTGGAAGTTCACTCCAGAGCTTAATTTTTCTCATTGTTACAATCCTTGATTTTTCAACCTTGGTTTTCAGCCAGCTTACTTTTCTTTTGTCTTTGTCTTACAGCAGAAATGTTTCTTCTCTCTCCTTTGTTTATTTACTGACACAAAAATCCAGCTAATTTTCTAGGCTAAATAAGCAATTTTGTTTTAATCTCTTCCTCTGTTGCCACTTCTCGATCATCCATGCAATGCTTGTACACACTAAAATTCATCTTTTCTGAGCAAAAATGTACAAAATTATACATGATATTGAAAATTGAGTTCTTTGTGTTTCTGTCTATTGGAAAAATGATGTGTAATAGGATTTAACTTTTTAATTGCAAATTCCCATTCTACATGAGCCATGCTTGGTTTCCTCTTCTTTTACTTCTTACTGATGAGTTCCTGGTATTTACAAGAAATTCTTGTTGTCGCTTCCAAAGAACAACATTTTTCACTTAGCTCCAGACATGTTTCTATGTTTCCACATATAGTAGTAAAATTGAGTCATTTTGTGACTTGGCATCATGTGGTTCAGATTGGATTATTTAGTTTTGGAGAATAATATTCTAATTGGATTTGGGAAAAATCTAATTTCTACTGACCTGAGGACTGTAGGTTTGTGGTGGATGGGGAAAAGACTTGTTGCATTTAATTTTATATATATATATTTATTTATACACACATATATATTTTTATATATATACATATATATTACATGTATATGTTACATATTTATAACATATATACATATATATATTTTATATATATGCATATATATATATTTTACACATGGGTATATATATACACACATATATGTTTTATATATATATGGAAGTCTTTAACAGCACAGGTGCTTATAGAATAGAATATAGAATCCTGGAATTGTTGAGGTTGGAAAAGACCTTTGAGTCCAACCATCCCCCAGCACTGCCAAGGCCACCAGTGACCCATATCCCCAGGTGCCACATCCACATCTTTGTTAAATCCCCCCAGGGATGGGCACTCCCCCTGTGACAACCCTTTTGATGAAGAATTTTAATGCCTGACCAATATTCTAACATGAGGCTGAAGATGAGGAGTTACAACTTAGATTATAGAGAGCTACTAGGAAAAGTAGTGTGAACTTTTTCTTCATTCTTGATTTTCTAATTTGTCACAAGACAGATGTGCTGGATTTGGGCAGACTCTGGGGAACAAGTAAATGAGGGATATTTCACCAGCTGGTAACAGCCTTTGAGCAGCTCTTAAATCTGAGCAGCTTCACCACTGCTTTTATTTGTAGCCCAGATCAATGCCCCTGATGTGCCTCACTGACTCCATGTTAGACCTGCTGACTGGGAGGATCTGTGTCAGGCAGTGCTTTCAATATTTGTCAAACTGAAAAAAGAAACCAACTCAAACCCAACAAAAAACCCTCCAACAAACTTTTTGTCCTGTTGGCAACATCAAGCTGACGAGCTGTGCAAAGCCCCCGAGGTTCTTGCCTGTCTGTGGGGACCTTGCTGGATGTTCCAGGGCTGGGGGACCTGCTGGGCACCTCGGGGGGAGCTGCAGCCTCCAAGGAAGGCCAGGGAAGGAGCCAGCTGTGTTGTGGAAATAAGGTTTTCCAGAGAAGCTGTGGCTGCCCCATCCCTGGAAGCGTCCAAGGCCAGGTTGGACAGGTCTTGGAGCAACCTGGGCTAGTGGAAGGTGTCCCTGCCATGGCAGGGGTGGCACTGGGTGGGTTTTAGGGTCCCTTCCACCCCAAACCATTCTATAACATCAAAGGGATGTGGGTTTTGTCAGCTCTGCCAGTCATTTCCACCTGAGGACCATCAAGGGTTGTCCCCCTGGAAATGTTCTATGGTATTTTATAGACAGAGCACTGATTGTCTCTCCTGAATGGAACCTGAGGCAGGTTGGACAAAATCCTCTTGTGG